AGGGATTGGTGCCCGTGAATGAGTCAGAAGGGGGCGCTGGAACCGGGAGGCGGGGACTGAACACCCACCCCAACCCCACTCCAGGGCCCAGCTTCCTCCTGGAGGATGTTTTTAACACGTCACATGTGTATTTTACTTAAGACACACTGAGATCTCACAGTTTATGCCTTGTATCTTGTCTCTTTTACTTTTTTTTTTATCGTCACCTGAGGACATTTCTTTCATTGCTTTTAGAAAGAGGAAGGGAAAGAGAGAAACAGCAATGTGAGAGAGAAGCACTGACTGACTGCATCCTGTACGTGCCTAGACCAGGGACCGGGGATCGCGGGCCGAAGCCACGACCCAGGCCAGTGCCCTGAGCAGGAGTCAAACCCGCAGCCTTTCGGTTACGGGATGATGCTCCAACCAGCTGAGCCACACCGGCCAGGACAATTCATTAAATAGTTGTAATATGATTTTCAGTGGTTACATTTCATCGTTAGGTTATACTGTATTGATCCTTTTCCAGTTGTCTTATTAGTAGTGTATAGAAGATGTGTCTATTTGGTTTTACCTTCAGTGATAAAAACTATATAACTGGCCCTGGCTGCTGTGGCTCAGTGGATTTAGCACCGGCCTGGGAACCAAAGGGTCGGCGGTTCGATTCCCAGTCAGGGCACAGGCCTGGTCCCCAGCAGGGGGCGTGTGAGAGGCAACCGCACATGGATAGTTCTCTCCCTCTTTCTCCCTCCCTTTCCCTCTCTCTAAAAATAAAATCTTTTTTAAAAAAAGTTGTATAATTAAAACACATTTGCCAGCTTGATAAGTTAAATTGTTTTCTTAAAAGTGGAATTTTTATTATTAGTGAGGTTGACATTTTTCCCATATTCTTTGTCCGTTAAACGCCCTTTTGCCTCCAATTTTGCTTGTTCGACATAAACATGGCCGTCTACACATTTGGCCATTTGTGTTTTCCAGACACGTCCTCCTTTCCTTTTGTTGTCAGTTTCTGACTCATTTGGTTTTAGGCCTGTCTTACAAAAGGCACATCTGTGTCTTTGGTTGGGATGTTTAACCCATTCACATTTATTGTCACATTCGATGGGTCTCCACTCTGGAGGACTGACTGGCGTCGCCCGGGCGCCCACCCTCCCGGCCTGCCGGCCTCTCTCCAGCCCTGGAGGCGGACAAGCTCCCAGACAGGTCACGGCAAGGCCGTCCCTTTAAGAAGGAGCACACCCCGGGCTGGGTGCAGCCCAGGTGCTGAGAGACAGGAGGTGAGTCTTTTAAAGCCGAGCCCGGCCCTGGCTGGTGTGCCTCAGTGGATTGAGCAAACCGAAGAGTCACCGGTTTGATTCCCAGTCAGGGCACAGGCCTGGGTTGCAAGCTGGGTCCCCAGTGGGGGGGCGTGCGAGAGGCAACCGCAGATTTATGTTTCTCTCCCCCTTTCTCCCTCCCTTCCCCTCCGTCTAAAAATAAATAAATATTTTTTAAAAAAAGAAAAAAGAAAAAAATTAAAAAATAAAGCCGAGCCTGAAGTTGTCTTAACAGCTCATGTGTCCCCTGCCCCGCCCCCGCCCCCCCCACTCACAGAGCCCCCCCCCCCCAGGGATGCTTTGCTTCCAGGCCCTGCAGCCCCAAAAGCTAGGGAGATCTAGACGCATTTCTGAGTTTTTAAATAAAGCTTCTTTTTAAAACAAATTTTTATGGGGGGAAAAAACCTTCATCTCATTACCCACAGAGAAGAATTTTGATGTACCTCCTTTCTGCCGTCCTTTCTGCAGTATTTTATTTTTATTGAGTTTCACAGGCTATGTAGTCCAACTCTATTTATAATCACATAACTGCTTTTTTCACATTTCCCCCTGCCACGAAAATCCCCGCGTCTCCCGGTGCACACAGCTCCCAACAGCGGCCTGAGCTCCCCGGCGCGGCGGTGCCCAGTCTAAACCCTTCCTCACTGTGGGCTCAGGATTTGTCGCGCCAACTTTCTAACACTATGAAAAAGGCCTCAGAGACCAAGGTCAAAGAACTGTGTCTGGAACTAAGACTCTTTCCTAAGGGTAAAACAAGGTCATGGGTGCGACCGCGTTTGAGTTCCCGAGGCGGCGCCCACCGCAGCCGGCGCCTGGGTTGAGGCGCCCCGAGTCGCGAAGTGAGCAGCAGCCGCAGCCCCGGACACACCCTCCGCTCTGTCTCAGAAGCCAGGGCGGCAACACTGCTCCTGAAATGCATGGCTCCACCTGCGGGGCCTGAAGGGCCCTGTTGGTCGTGACGGATTGTGGCTATTTCTGGAGACAGAGCTGGGCGGTGGCGTGTGCTCCCCCAGGAGGGGAGGAAGGGCGGGGAGGGACGGGCAAGCTGGGAGAAACCCAGAGACACACGCTCTGTGCCGGCGGCAGCAGTGCCCAGGGCCCAGGAACGCCTGACCTCAGCTCTCTGCCCACAGCAGGACGTTCAGCAGAGTCCCCACAGGGGACTCTCGCCCTCTGCCCCGGGGGACAGACCTGTGGGGACATGGGCTGGATCTGCAGGCAGGGGAGTGGGCACACAGCTGGGGGCAGACAGGCGAGTGGGAGGGACGAGAGAAGGGGCCAGAGGCTGAGTCACAGGGATCGGCCACAGCATCACAGCAGATCGACCCACGACCACAAGAAGGAAATGGTCTCACGCTCCAAAGGGAACCCCAGGGGAGAAGCGGTGAACCCCTGGGGAGACCCGCGCCTTCACCACCGTCTCCTGTGGCCCTGCCACTGGCCCCTCTGCCTCCCTCCCTGCTGTCCGCGAGCCGTCCCTCACGTAGCCGTCAGGGGCCAACCTCCCACAGCTCTTAAAACAGCGTCCCAACGGTCCCAAGCAGCGCTGCCGAAGCCCATGCCGCCTGCCTGCTGACCTCTCCCACCCTCCCCCCCGTCTGCAGCACTGGCCTGGACGCTGGTCCTTTACTTCCAACATACCAGCCCCTGGTTCCCACCCCAGGGTGCTGTGCACTGGCCGCTCTCCCCACCTCAAATCTCCACTCCCAGCGCCCCCTGCAGCTGGCTCCTTCCCTTGGTGTCGAGCTCAGACATCACCCGCTCGGAAGCGCCTTCCCAGCCCTTTCCCAGGCACCCACCCCCCGCCAAACCTTCGGAGCACAGGTCAGTATCCCCATCATCCCATTTGTTTCTTCTTCTCGGGTTTCCCGCACAGGAATGAGGACAACGGATATCACTGTGTCCCCAGCGCTTAGTAGGTCCAATACGTATCTCATGAGGGGCTCTCTTTAGTTTATTTGGTCAGATACTCGGGCCCTGGAGGGTGGGGCAGCATCAAACGGGGACCCAGCACGTGGCCGTAAAGCCCCCTTGCCGAGGCCCAGTTTCCCGCGGGCACAGAGCTCCCCCCAGGAGCCAACCACCGGGCTGGGCTCTCGATTCCAGTAACACATCGAATCCCGGGCTCCAGGGCTATCATTTAGTGTCTATGTTTTACAAACCAAAAAGAGTCAGAGCAAAGGTCAAAGAAAGGGCCCTCTTCCCGTGTTGTGAATTCATTGATATGAAAAGTCTTGCCAAGCGGTTATAATCGAACGCATGCGCTACACGCTTACTGAGCCCGCGGGTGGGGAGGCGGGCTCCGCCGGAGCCAGCTGGCCCAGCCCCTTCACAGCCGTGCACTGGAAGCAGGTTCCTGGACTCCTGTGGGCCTCGGCCCCTCCGAGCTGGAGGAGGTCATCCGAGGACACGACCCAGGCCAGCCTGAGCCGGGCCCGGGCCTCTCCCCGCCCCCCGCCCTGGGATGCACGCTGCGCCTGCTGCCCCCACATTAGGGGCTGTCTCCAGGACGCAGCCGCGAGCACGTGGTGTGGCTGAGGCCGTCTGGGCAGCGCCTCGTGACTGGCGCCAGGTAAGGCCTCCCCGTGAAGATCGGAGCTTCCGGTGGGCGGGTGAGATCCACTCGTGTCCAGGAAGTTCCCTGCCCCTTCAACCTGCTGCCTTCCCATCGGGAGCGGTGGCCTCTTTCTCCAGAAATGCCTGGCGCTTGGCTCTTACGTCACATACGTTCGCTGAGACACAGCTCTTTTCGGCAAATTGTCTCAAAGTGTGGATTTCAAACATAATTTTTAGCAGAACACTTTTAGCAAATCACTGTGGCAGAAGTATAGCTTTTTCTAAACTGTGGCAAAGTGTGGGTTTCCAACTTCCGCAGCCGGAACACACTAAGCAAACCCACCTCGTAAAGGACCCCGATATCTGAACAGCCTCCCCAGGATGGCGGGGCCCAAGCCCGCTCTCCCATAGCCAGGTCCGGGGGGGCAGCCAGGGCACCCAATGAGGACACCCGGACTTCATTCTCTGGCGTCCGGAGACCACGGACCTCCCATTGACAGGCGGTGCGGACATACACCCCTTGGGTCCTGGGCACACCGCTGAGTAAACGGGACAGTAACGCAAACTCTCGGGAATCTTTGTGCATTCTGGCCTCGGCGGGGGAGCATTTAGAATGAATAAACCTGGACATTCTTCTTGGCAAAGATGGCGCGGTCCATTGGTGGAGGACAGATGGCCATCAGAGTCCATGTGGACGTGCACACGTGCCCCTCAAAACGGACAGAGCTCCCAAGTGTCCCGGCGCCACCCACGGAGGACGGCTGAAAACCGCACGCTGCACGTGTGTAATGCGGAGGCGCACAAAGCGCAGGTGCAACAGCACGGAGAATGGACTGAAAATGTGCCGGGAATGCTCCAAACTCGGGAGGGCCCTTGTCTCCAGGGGGAAGCAGTGAAAGGACCCTCAGCTTTCATCCGTGATGTTTCATTAGAAAGGAATAGAGACAGACAGGCCACCAAAGTGACGCAGTGTTAACTGCTGTGGACTCTGGAGGTAGGACGGTGCTCTGGCTTGTGTTACTGTCTGGCTCCTGTATTCTTGACGTTTTCTCCCGAATCACAGAAACGGGATGACCGACACCCCCCCACCAGGCTCTAGGAGCGCTGCGCCCCGGGGTACCCCGCTCCCCGGCTCTACGGCCCCCTCACCTGTCCAGGGCCAGGTGCCCGTGACTGGCGGCGCGGTGCAGCTCGCTGCTATTCTCCAGTCTGGCCAGCGCGTCCATGCGTTTCAGCATCAGCTCCAACAGGTCGCCCATCTTGCGGAGGACTCCCCGGGACTCCAGCCCACCCGTCACTGCAGGCAGAGCATGGCCACAATCAGGTGAGGCCCCAGCATCCCAGAGGCCGCCTGAGGCTGCCTGGTCTCCAGGCCAGGGTGGCCCAGATGCCAGCTCACTCCTACCTTCCCAGGGAGAGGAGGGGTCAGGAAAGGGAGCCTGGCCACCCCTCACCGGCAGGACGGGAGGCTGGAGAGCCGTGAGCCAGCCCTGCTCCCCACAGCGGTGCGTCCCGGGACACTCTTTTAACCTTCCTAGGCCTCGGTTTGGTGGCCTATGAAATGGAGCTTGGGACGTACCCCCAGGTCTGCAAGGTGACGGAGAAGGCCCAGTAGTGGAACAGGAGCCTCGAAGCCCCCTTCTACCAAGCTCCAGGCAGAACTTCCAGATCGGGGTTCTAAAACTGTGGCCAACCATTCACCCCGCCCCTGAATCTCCTGGCCAGACTTTTAAAATCCAGGTTCTCAGGCCTGGTCTCAATCTGTGTGTTCGAATCTCCGAGGTGGGGCACCCGGCCCCTGCGGCTCAGAGGCGCGGGAGGAGCTGCCCACCTGTGTGTCAGAGGCCCGGGGCCTGTCCTCCCACCAGCCTCGGGCCGGGCACACCCCCCGCACCCTTCCCCCACCCCCACCCCCTTGTAGAAAACCATCCTGAATGTGTCCTGACTCTCAAGCCGGTCTTCTGGCTCCCAAAGATCAACGCCAAGGCTGAGGAGCAGGGGAGACCTTGTGAAGAATAAAATTAAATGAAAACGAGCTGCTTCAACCAAGATCCCATTAACCAGCCGGAGACTCTGCGCAATTTCCTTTCTAATCATTCCCTGCCATTAGCACTGCACGTGCCTTTTTAATGACATCTCGTGAAGGTTTCACACAGCTCCTCCCAACAAACAGTCCCTGGGTGCTCAGTTCCCGGCACCGTTCCCAGCGCGGCTCCCCGTGAGCCCCAAGGCCCAGGGGCTGAATCACTCGAAACAAGTGAGCTGAGTCCATCCGTGGGCGCCCCACTGTTTCTGGGGCTTCCAGGGAGGGGCAGGGGGCGCCTTAGGTTGGGCTTCTCAGCAGCAGACCCCAAATCAAAGGTCATCTATTTGGGTGGTGAGGGAAAGCCCAGTTGGGGGGTGCGGAGGTGACACAGGGCAGGGGAGACAGCCCCGAGGTGGGGGTGTCGCCAAGCTGGGAAACCAGCCTGTGGGGGACCCGACTTAGCGCCCTCCCCGGGTGGCGAGGGAGCTGGGCCGTGTGACGCCATCTCCCGCCGGTCACCGCTTCAGGCTTGCTCCCAGGACGGCCCTGTTCGGGGACCCCCGCGGGGTGGCAGGGAAGCCCCCAGAGAGAGAGCCGCAGGGCAGCCCACAGGCATGGGAGCAGAGAGGGCCCCGGGGCGACACCAACAGCGTCTGCATCGGGAAGGGAAGGGGGGCCCCGCAGGCTCCGAAGGGCTGGGAGACCGATCCCTGGGCTCTCACCTGCCTCTGCCGCACCCCGCCCACCCTGTGTGGCCGAGGGAGAGGCACGGCAGCACCCTCCTGCTCAGTGTCCCCAAGGCACCAGCCCCCACCGGCAGCTCAATGAAGAGGGGGCAGGAAGGAGCATGGCCGGCCACTGGGGACAGGAGGCAGAGGCGGGGAGGGGGTTGGGCTGGAGGTGACTGGTCTCCTTTGCTCCAAGGCTGGGACTGGGCTGGGGAGGGGGACCCCAGAGAGGCTCCCTGTCACAGAGCTCCTGTGACATTTCTGCTTTGCTTTCCCCTGTATCTCCTAGTTCTGGGCCCAACCCAGTGGATGCCACCGGTTCTCACACCAAATCGCCTCCTGGCTGGGTCCCCTGCCAGCTGAGCCCACCTGGCGTCGGAAGGAGGCCACGGGGAGCCAGGGAGGCCCCGTCACAGGCCCTGGAAGTGCCAGCGGGCATCGAATCCGGAGCAGGGAGGTGCCGCAGTCGCCTCAAGAGCCAGGGTCCTGGCTCTGAAGCAGAAGGGGCATGAATTGGGGGGGGGGGGCCAGGGTGGGAGAGAAGAGGAAGGGGAGACAGACAGACAGGCAGGCGCACAGAGACTGACACAGGATGAGCTTGGGTGCTGGAGAAAATGGGCATCAACGGGATGGGCATGTCACTTGCTTTCTCTGGGCCTCAGTTTCCCCTCCTGTAAAATGGCGGGGGGGGGGGGGCTTCTACAGACCTGCATCTTCCCCGATTGCCCGTAGAGATCAGGGCACGAGGACGGGAAAGAACTGTTGCTGAGAAGCCGGCAGGGCTCCCGAGGGAAAGGCTCTACACCCTACGCGGGCCACAAGGAACCCGGCTGCCCGGGGCAGCGAGGCACAGGGACGGCAGGGGGGCTGGGTACCCGCTCAGCCGGGGAGGCCAGGAGGGTGGGCAAGGCACGAGGACAGGTGGCCGGGCGGCCGGAGGGGCTGACAGGATGGGGACAACCAGGGAGCCCTGAAAGGCAAGGACACAGGAGGGAGTGGTCACCCCCGTGCTGTGCTGAGCATGGTCCAGGCCCCTGCCCTCCCTCCCCACGTCTGCGTGGCAGGGGCGCTAAGGGGGAGCAGGGTGCCCTTCCCTCTGGGTCGGTATGGGGGACAGAGGAGGCAGGAAGGGAGACGCCAAGCAGGATAACTCAACAGAAGCAGGAGATCAGAACAAGAGTGACCAGGGACCACAAGTCCCCGAGAGTCCCGTGGAGGCACCTGGGTTCCAGACACCCCTCCCCGAAGGGCAGAGGCCAGGTCTTTACGTGCCAACAGGATGAGTGGCTCTGGAAGACGGAGGCTTACAGATGAGCTAAGGAGACAGGGCCCCTCTCTCGCAGATGGGCCTGCAAGGCCCCTTCCATCAGACTGGACCAAGACCCCGAGTCACCTCCCCAGCTGCTGGGGCCCTGGGGTTGCTCCCCTCGTCAGCAGGGGGCACAGGACTCCGGAAGCTCCTGAGACCTCAGCAGGCAGCCCCCTCCATTTTCTGCCGGAACAAGGCAGGGGGTGGGTCCCCGGGAGGGAAGCTGGCTTTGCACAGCCGGTGCGGCCGCTCTCCCCACACGACGCGCCCCCTGGATCTGCCGGGACTGTCAGCAGAGCGCACTCCTGACCCTGACATGGCTCGCCAGGAGTCACCTCTCCACCCCTGGCGTCAGCTAAACTGAAACATACTTCATGTGAGGCCCCAGGGACACATCTTGGCACACACACGTGTTCCCTCCACATTTCCATATAAACAAACAAAGAAAGCTGGGACACAAGAGACACAAACGGCGCCTGGCATTTACAGACGGGCTGTTTTCTGCCCACTGCGGCCCCACCCCTCCCAAGCAGCTGCCCTGTGTTTGTCTCTCCTGCCCGCCCGTGTCCTCCTCTCTAGTCCCCACCCCGCCCCTTCCTGCTGCTTCCTGGGACCTGAAGGCACCCGCGCCTGAGCAGTCAGACAGAGGGGCCCCCGGCACCAGACACGGGAGCTGTCTGTGCCGCTGGAGATGCAAGCGCGTTGCCCAGGGCCACCTGGGTAATCGGCTGAGGCCGTGGCAGCTCTGGGCCCCGGACGGTGGCAGCCACAGGGGCAGGCCCTGGGCCCGGGCGCACCCCTCCATTCCCAGCCTCATTGAGGAGGCGCCCCGGAGCCCATTAGTGGGGGGCCCAGGGTCAGAGGCAGCCACGGAGCAAGTGCTCCCCAGGCTCCAGCCCCCGAGGTCTGGCCCGGCAGAAACTCCGGGCGGACGCGTGCAGCTGAGCAAAGGGCCGCCAGCCTGCAGACCTGCCCCCGCCCCGCAGAGAGCTCCGGCCTCTAGCTCTTCAAGGCGAGTCGGGGAGCCAGGCAGCCCATCTGCCCTGGGAACCGCAGCAGCATTGGAAAGGAGGCCTCAGATGCCTCCTGTCCCCTGTCATGGGGGGAGCGAGTTGCTCCCTAGGACAGGAGAAGGGCAGCGGAGGCAAGAGGCGGGGCGGGAGGGGGGTGGCGCTGAGGGGTGAGCACACACAGATCTGCCTCCGGGGCCCCAGCCTGCGCTCCTGCGAGAGAGAATTAGGTTAGACCTCTCCCTCCAGCCTCCTTCTCTCTGGGTCTTATGACAAGTGTACAGAATACACAGTGTGTCTGCCACGAAATATAAACCGGCCCCAGGGGAACCCAGGGCCTCCCCAGGGAGGCCACGGTCCATAGAGGCTGCGGCGGAGTCACCTCTCCTTTTAGAGAAATGCTTTTCCTCGCTGCCCAGCCGGCTGGCCGTCTGTCCCTCCCTGTGGGACCCCACTGCCCTCAGGCTTGACAGGCAGCGGGGGAGTGGTTCTCCATCTGTGCTCAGGTGGTTTCATTCACCGAGGCAGGGATTTGTCTTCTGACTGTGGGTTTCCTCCCCTGAGTCAGCCAGGGGCTGGGCGCAGACTCCTGGAAGAAGCCCCGCCCCGCCCATGACCTTCAAATCCCTCCCTGGCCGCGCACGCTAGGCCCCGCACACTGGCCGCTTCCCCCAACCCCAATCCTCCCCGCTGGCAGCTCCCGGTTCGGCCGAGCTGCCCCAGGCGTGGTGTGGGGTGTCCCCAACAGGATCAGGATTTCAAACCCACAAGGGGAACGCAAGGCCCTGCTCCGAGTCTCTCCAAGCACATCAACGCCCTGCGAGGGCGCGGAAGGACTTGGGAGTCCGGACGAGCGGTGCGGCGAAGGGAGTCAAGGTCATTCTCCGCGGTTCTCCGGGGGCCCGCCCGCCCGTGACCTCCTTCGGCTGTTAGCTCCATACTGCGGGCATTTAGCCTCCAGGAGGAGACCCAGCAGGTCCAAACCCAGGGGTCCACGGCAGCGCTTCTAGCGAAGCCCCACCTGGAGGCCGCCGCGCCCCCGCAGTAGCAGGGATACATCCGCCGTGTATCCACCCGAGTGCCGCACAGGAGCGACAGCAACGTCACCCCACCCCCGGACCACGAGCCTCAGCAATGCGCTACCGGGAGCAAAGGGCACACTCAGAGGACACCGCCCTGTGACTCCATTCCCAGAGAGTCCCCACACAGGCAGAGCCCCCTGCGCTCCTGGAGCCGGGGTCCCGACGTCCTTGGGGAAGGAGTGAGAGGGCGGAGGCCCAAGGGCCTTCTGGGGGTGAGCACACTCCGCTCCCCGCCCGGGTTGCTGGTTGCATGGACATGTTCGGTGTGTGCCAGTTATACCCAGTGGGGAGTTCAGGCGCACACGCACACGCACACGCACACACGCACGCACCGGCGGAGGCCTCGAGGCTCCTGCACCTCAGCCAAGTCCTCCTCCCTCTGCGGTTCTGTCCCCTCCTAAGACGCAAGGCTTAGGTTGGAGTTGGGCCCCTACCCCATCTGCCAGGCAAAACTGCAGCGCGCAGGGCTCGGCAGGGCTCCTCAAGCCCCTGTACTCTGGGCCTCGGGGCCCAGCCCTGCCGAGCTGCGGCTCTAGCCCCTCAGGGGTACGGGCAGAAGAACCTGCACCCCGGCCGTGCACCCCTGCTCCCCCAGCCCCGGGCCGCCACCTCTGGCCTTCCTGGAGGTCCAGCTTCCACAGCGCCAAAGACAGACGTGTCCCCTCCCCAGGGATGGCCCCCAGGGAGCCAGAGCAGCCCTGACCACACCCCACCCCCTCATGACCCCAGGGTCCCCCCGGAGCTTCCCCTCCGGGGTGCCTTCGCAATGGCCCTTCGCACCTCCACCCTCAGGCGTCTCCTCTGAGAAATCCCAGCGGCTCCTCCGTCCTTTGCCCTTTTCTGCAATGTCCCCGCCTCCCACTCAGCCCGTCCAGGGGATATTTACAGAGCCTGGACTAGCCACCGGGGGCTGCTCGCGGCCCTTCGGACGGGTCCCCTCAGTGCGTCCCCTGAAGGCGTCCGCATGGCAGCCGGGGAGAGGCAGCCGCTCCCGTCCCCGCTTATCAGAGGAGAAAACGGAGGCTCGGAGGCCGCGGGCCTCCGCCAGGCGGGGTGGCACCGGTCACCTTACCCCCAGGCTTGGAGGACTAGTAAACGTGAGCTTCCTGCTGGGAGCCCTTGCAAATTTAAAGAGGCGTGTGTGAAACCGAGGAAGGACTCCATGACGAGAGCACCGGTGGCACAGTGAGCGTCCCCAGAACCCCCGCCGGGTGACAACCATTCTCCCGGAGAGCACATCCGTCACCTGAACCGGGGAGCCAGTCGGCTGAGTTGGGGGTGCGAGATGGTAGACGTCAAAGAGAGGCTTCTCGGGGGCGGGGGAGGCCCACAGCGCCAGCCCCGGGCCGTCCTCGTCGGCCTCAGTTTCCCTACTTCCCATGTTCCCCATCCCCGCGGTCGACCAGAAGAGGCCCTGTGACACCCCAAGCCGACACCCCTCCTTGAGCAGGATGAAGGGAGCAGGGACGGAGGTCGTCCCGGTTGTCACCTCGTCACGGCCCTGGCCATCGGAGCTCAGCCAGTCCAACCCCTGAAGACGGGCATTGCTTTCCTCCCTCGTAGGTGAGGACGTGACGTGGCCAACGGCACACAGCTGGTGGACAGTGAGCCAGGGTACAGACTGGGTCCTCCTGGTCCCCAAAGCCCTTGCTGGAACCTGTGTCCCATGGCCTCGAAGTAACACGGGGGCAAAGAGCCGTGAGGATCCAGGCTGTGTCCCACAGGCTCAGACACAAGGCACGCGAGCCCACAGATGGCCTGCCCTGTGTCCCCACTGTGGCCACAGCCCGGACCAAAGGCAAAGAACACGTGGCTCTCAGAGAGACCGGTGTCACATTCACACCCCTCCCACTAAAGAAGCCACAGGGGCAGCTTTCTTGGATGCCCGGGTGAGAGGGGCCCTGATGACCACAGCCAAGACCGAAGCCGAAGCAGCACGCAAGGTCACGCAGCCCCCGCCAAGGCCCTTGTCCACTCACACGTCCACTGACGCGGTGGCCAGGACGCTTGGGACAGGCGCCAGGGGACCATCTGCCGTGCTAGACTCCAGGGCCTCCCGCCCTCTCCCACCCTCACCCACTCCCGCCCCTGCTTCGGACGCCCTCCGGTGCCATACCTTCCGTGCGGATGGTGAACGGGGAGTCCCCGGGCCGCCGGGCTGAGAACTGGCCTCCCAGAGACGTCATCAGGAAGCAGAGCGAGAAGAAGCCGATGCCCAGGACAAAAAGCCTGCGGAGAGCAACAGGGCGGTCAGGGCGCACACTGCTGTCCCGTGAGGGCTCACAAGTGACTGAGTGGCCAGGGGTGCGTGAGCGGGAAAACAAAAGGTAAGGGGCTGAGCGCAGCCCGGTCTCTCATCGGCGCAGGAGAAAGACAGCTCCACCACGAGGACCCCGCGCAGTGGCTCCGGACCGTGCCGCGCAAGGTCGCCCGCCAAGGCTTGAGGCCCAAGTCCCGCTGACAGAATCCCCCCAAGTGCGGTCCCCGGAGCTGCAGCCTCGGTGTCCCACGGGACGTGCTGGAGGTGTCAACTCTGGAGCCCCACCCCTGGGCTCTGAACTGGACACTAGGGGGCAGGGCAAGCACTGTGCGCTGTCCAGGTGCTCCTGACACACGCTCCTGACACACGCTCTCGTCTGAGAGCCGCTGGTGCAGAAGGAATCAGCAGGGCCTGCCTGGTGCCAGCCCGGGGGAGGGACGCCACCCACCCAGATCCTGCCAACCTCCAGGCTTGCCGGGCACCTGCGTACACAGCCCTGGCTGCGGCCACCAGCCATGGGTGTGCCTGAACACCTCCTTGTCATGTGCCAAGGGGGCGGGGTATGCCCTCTGTCACCACCAGATGGTAAGACCTAGAAGGGCAGGGCCATGGGGTCGCCTTCTGTGCCCAGGCTCTGCCCAGCCCACCCTCCACCAGGCAGGCACGCGGTCGGCCGTCAGCTGGTGCCACGGACTGGTCAGAGTGCACCAACGCCTGCTTGCGGGGTGTCACGCGGGTGGTGCTGTCACAGTGGTCGGGAGAGCTGGCCGAAAAAGGGCTGTCACTCATTGCTTCCGCCCACACTCACTAATGACCTGCCAGGTGCCAGGCACGAGGACAGCCCCGGGGGGACGGTAGGGAAGACACCCTCGAGCCCCCAGACCCAGGCTCCGCCGCTCCTGTACTAGATCCTGAGCCCCAAACAGGAGAACCGAGGTCCCCAGCCGTCTTGGGGTGGCTGGAGGTGGCAGCTGCTCTGGGACTTTAAGTCGATCGGGGACCTTGAGGAGCTGGCAGAGCAGGAAGGGGTTGCCTCGCCCTCCCCCATCAGGGGGAGGGACCCCGTCTCGCAGGGAGCCGGGCTCGCCACAGGGGTCCCCCGGTCACAACAGAGGCCTCCGGCCCTCTGACTGCCACCCCGTCCCCAAGCCCCACGTTTGCCTGTGTCTCTGTGCGAGACTTGCTTTATGCATTTTAATCTTCATTATTTGAAACTGGCAGCGCGGTATTTAATTAAACTCTGGTCCATTAAAGAAAACACATAATTGCAGAAGAAAATAAAAGCATAACAAAATTCTCTCCCCATATTTAAAGGAAGCTGTTAGAGGTTAAATCAGAGAGGGGACAGAATCCAAAAGCACAGAGGGGACCGGGAGCTTCCCCCAGGAGGTGACAGAGAGGACAGGCGAAATGGCACAGGGACAGTGCTCCTGCATCTTCTGGGGGCCCCTCGTCGAACCCCACCAAGCCCAGGGTGGGGCACGGGCCCTGGGGTCCCCAAGATGAAGTCAGGCTGGTCTCAGGGCAGCAGCCAGAGGGGCAGTGGAAGGGGAGGTGGTCACACACCCAGGAAGGTCCTGGGGGAATTGGCCGTTTGTCCTTCCAGCTGAGGACAAGGACGGGCCCCCTCAAGTGACCCATCCCTCACTTCCCGCTCCCTTCCCCAGCAATGAGCTGTGCTTGGAGCCGGGAACCTCGGCTGCCAGCGCCCAAAGACCTGCTGTGAGACGCTCTCTAAGCCTTTAGCCCCGAACATGAAGTTCCCACACACCACACCGGCGTCTGTCCCTGCCCAACCCCAGTCCTGGGGCCACTCCAGCCTGCCCTTCAGGATGACAAGCAGAGGTGTTATGGTTGGAGGCCCGTCACCTGGCCCCATCTGAAGGGGACACACAGACTCCACGGGAGGCTGTGGGTCTCTGGCCTAGGGAGACCCGCAGGTGAAGTCATACAACTTGGGGGGAGGGGAGTCTGCCCAACCCCAGGGCCCCGCAGAGTCAGGGCAGGGCCCCCAGGGACGCGGGCGGGGCGGGCGCTGTCCGCGGTGCTGGAGCCCCGCCTGGGCACCACTTGCCCTTGGAAACGTCTGGCTAAACCTCAGAGCAGCGGCTGGGCTCCCCCAGCCTAGACGGCGGGTCGGACATGGGCGGATGAGACCGGCTGAGGACCCTCTCCACGGGCCGGGCCGGGCAGCTAGAGACCGAGGACTTCCCGCAGGAGAGAGGTCCCTCCCAGCCATGCCCGCCTCCCACAGGAGTCTGTGTCTGTCGGGGGCTCCGAGTCCCTCCCACTGACCAGGGCCAGGACCGCTCGCGCCCACAGCCCCAGGCGCTGCCTCCCCAGCCCCGCAGGACAGGCCTGGCGGACAGAGGGACTGGACGTGCTGGGAGGCAGCAGCCACGGGAGCCGAGGTCCCGGGTCAGAGGGAGGGCGGGTCATCAGCCTCAGCGGGGCCCTGGGAGGCCTCCTTCCCTCTGCGCCCTCCGTCCCCCACTCCCCCGGCGGGCAGGCGGTGAGGTAGCAACCCGCAGGCCTGGGGGTCGGGGGACGGCAGAGCCCGACCTGGCCTTGGCCGCCCGAGGTCGGGGTGAAGGGATCGGCCTCCGCCTTCATCCTGCCTTCGGCTCCCGCCACATTCCCGGCTCCTGCCTCCCCTGCCCCCGCCTCTCCACGCCCGCGATCAGGGCCGAATCTCCAGCCGAGGGGCTCCTTGCCCCAACCTCGGGGACCCCCGTTGGAGACAGCCCGCACCCCGCGGCGAGAAGGGGAGCGCTCCAGGAACCGGGGTAGGGCCGGGGTTGGCGGGCGACCCCGAGATGCGGCGCCCTAACTTTGACGCCAGCTTGGGGCCGTCGGCGAGGGGGGGGGACCCCGGGGGCAGAGAAGGGGCGCCCCGGCCAGGCGACCTCCGAGCCCAGGACCACAACCTGGCGTCACCCGCCCGCCCTCCCTCCCGCCTTCGCACCCGGAGTCCTTTCCAAACTAGACCAACGGGGGACACGTCGCGGAATCACCCACCCCTCCCCGCTCGAACCCGACCCCGAGCTCCAGCCCCTTTCCCAGCCCCGCCGGCCGTCGCCAAGGGAGGCAGCACGAACCGCCCCCTCAGCCACTGGGCACGCACCCTCGCGGGGACCAGCCGCGCGCGCCCCTACCCCGCGCCCCCTCGGGGAATAGACCTTCCCGCGTCAAAGGAAGAGAACTTTACCGAAAGGGTCTCAGGGTGACCAGGCATCTTCTGACCATTATCTTCCCATCGGGGTTGACTGTGATCATTGTTCTAACTTGTCCGGCGGGGAGCCGCGGGCGAGGCCGGACGCACCGTCCCGAGCTCTGTCCCACCGCGTCCGAGCCACGAACCTGCTCCGGGCGGAGGCCGGGTCGGAGCGGGGCGGGGGAGCGCGGGGCCTCGGCGGCTTCGCTGGCGGCTCGGGTCGGCGCGGCCTCGGCGGGCGGGGGACGAGGAGCGGTGCGGCTGCCGGAGGGCGGCGAGGGCGCCCGGCGGGCCGTCTCTGCGTCTCCGCCCTCCCCGCTTCACATTTTGGGGGCCGGGAGGCGGCGCGCCCCCCGACCGCCGGCCGCGCGTCTGCCTGCTCGGGCTCGCTCGCTGGGCGGGACGGCGCCGCGGCGCGCAGACGGGCTCCCCGCCGCGGGCGCCCTCATCCCCGGGCCCGCGCCCTCGGTGCCGGCTAGAGGCGGCCCCGGGCCCGCGCCCCGGCCCCCCGCGCCTCCGGGCCGCGCCGCTCCCCGAACCGGCGCCGCGCAGCGCCCATGGCTCTCAGCGAGGGCGCCCTGCGCCCGCCCTGCCTCCCGTTCGCTCCGGTGTCCGGCGCCCGACCCGCGCCGCGCTGCGCTGCGCTACGCGGGGAGGCGCCGCATTGTTTCCTCGGAGGAGGCGGCGGAGCCGTTGCTGCGCTTCTTCGGCGCGTCGGCGCCACCTCGTGGCGGAGGCCCAGCAGCGCACCCTCCCGGCCCGGGTCGGGGAGCTGGGGACAAGCGGGCGGGGGTCACCGCGCCTCCCTCCAGCCGTACAGTTTCCCCCGGCCCCGCTTTCAGAAGCCTTCTGCCCGGTGCCAGGGCCTTCCCGCCGACCTCTGCTAGGGTCGCCCCTGCGGACTTCTGCACCGGCCCCTGCACGCCCGCTCGGATGTCGCTTCGCCACCCTCCCCCATCCTCTGGCTCTCTCTGGTCAGAAACTGCCGCGGCTCCCTTTTGCCCACTGATCTGAGCTCAAACTCGACCTGTAACGCGCAGACTCTTTTGCTGAGCCCAGAAGCAGGGCACGCTGTGTGGGTCTGAGTTCTAGTCTCAGATTCTCCAATAACCCGCCGAGGTGGCGGTGGGAGGGGGGTGCCGGTACCAGCTGCGGGGACTCTCCCGCCTCGGGTTCTCCACTAAGAAATGAGAGCGACCACCAGTTCGCTAAGGCCCCTTCCAACTCTATAAAGCATTTATGTGCCCTGTGCCCTCCTCCCACCCACCCACCCACCCCTCCACTTCAGTTTTGGAGACTGGGAAGCTCCAAGGTTGCAACAGCCCAAAGCCTCCCGCCCTGTGTGAAATGACAGGGGTGACCCTGAGGGCCTTTCCATCCCAGGCAATGACTCTACAGTCTGGCTGAGCAGGGGAGAAAGTGTTTATTCTCCACCCACCTGGCCCTGGTCCCGGCTCCCCCCCGCAGCCCGTTTGCTGCCGGCCTAGCCCACCTCCCAGCCCCGCTTCTAAGCCATTTCTCACAAGCAGTGACTCACACTCCTGCTTTTCCTGCTTATTCTTCATCCAAATTCACCTGTCTGGCGTTCCATTATCTCATTGCCTTGCTCCCTGCACATGGGAGAACCGGCGAGAGATAGACGTGGGCAGGCCGATGTGTTACCCCAGCTAGGTAACAAATGCGCGTTGAACAAGGGCATGCGGACCATACCTTCGGGCGGGAGAGTGGCGAGTGTGAAGGGAGAATTGAACCCCGGGCAGGCCGGCGGAGGAGCTGTCAGGGCGGAGGGGGCCCTGCCAGGCTCTGAACCTCACCGGGGGCCTGGGCGGCTACCTCCGCCACGTACTGCGGCAGAAATGGGATCTCCGGATCTCGAGGCGAAAGCTGCCTCTACGCTCAGGGACAAAATGACCCTTCCAAGTATGCATGTCTCTCGTGTAAGCTCAGAGGGTCACGCTTACACCTGGTTGGCTGGCATTTTAGGCCAAAGGGGAGGAGAAATGAAGGGTCTCCCCCGACATAGCGTGGCCACAGCCGCTGCGACTCTGGCGAGGCAGCTTTCCCTCTGCTGGAAGCCACAATTCCGAAGGCCGGAGAGGGTCCTCCCCGCCTCCCCCGGGCCTTGCGATCTTGGAAGGGGGCACTGAGGTGGCCCGGGGCAGCGCAGGCTGCCTCGGGACTGCCGCTCAGGCCTCGCAGGGAGACCTCGGAGGACTGTGAAGCCGCCTTTGGAGCCAGGCCCCCGCTCCCCTTCCTTTCCCAGGCCAGTTCCTTCTGCTAGCCTCTTGCCTGCTGCAGAGCTCAGTTCTCCCTTGCGCTCCAGGCGGTAGCAGAAAAACTGGGCTCCATGTTGGGCAACCTCAGGTATGAATGACCCTCTGCGCCTCGATTTCCCCCGCTGTCCATCAGGCTAGAGGCAGCCGCCTCACACGCCCTGATGAGAACCGAGCCTGGTGACACCTGTAAGTTGCCGATCGCCGGCCCCTGTGAGCCCTCACAGCGGCAGGGGGGTTGGTCTTGGTTTCGTCTACCTGCAGCAGAGCTGCCGGTGCCGGCCCTGTGTCCTGGGCATTCACCTCTACACGCCAAAGGCAGATGACTGAGACACAGGGGACCATGCCTGAGGCTTATGTTTCTGGCAGCGGGAATATGCTCGAACACTCGGGGACAAGGCAGGAGCGCCAAGAAATTAATGGCCTGGAAGTGGCCCTCAAGGAATGAATAAATACCCACCTCCCTCTCCCTCGGGCGGGATCCTTGGCGTGCTCCACACCAGCTCCCGCTCTTCCCCAGCGAGGCTGAGCTCAGCCGCCTGCCGTGGCGACCGGCTCCGTCACACACCGCACGTGGGCGTCCTTGCCTTCTGTGCCTCATTCCCCCTCCTCTGTCCGTGTGCCAGGGTCACCCCCCCGGTAAACCACCTGCGTGGGGATGCTTGTCCCAGAGTCTGCTGCCGGCGGGCCCGCCCTCCAGGCTGGGGGCTCTCAGCCCTGGCTCACAGCAGAACGGCCTGCAGAACATAACACAGCAGAGCCCTAACCTGGTGCCCAAGGGGAGGCCCAGGCACGTTTGGTTTTTACTGGCGCAGGGTACACCCACATAACCGACCGGAGCAGAGACCCACCATTCTGGATGGACACCCGTTGCCTGCCGGGAAGCGAGGCGGAGGGAAACAGAGGAGCAAGGCCAAGGCCACTCCTGCCAGAGGACACATCCAGGGACTGAGGATGTCAGGCCCTACAAGATCCCAGAACCCTCCCCGCTTCATGGTGTTTCCCTTTTGAGGCTAGAAACAGAACCACGGGCCAGCCCAACATGGGGGTTCGGATCCAGGCTGGAGCAGCCTGGGGGCTCTAAATGCCCCACTTCCTGGCTCTCTCCGCTGCCTTCTGGCTGCAAGGATTGGGAGATGCCTGGAGCCAGCAGGTGGCCCTTGCCAGCACCTTGCCTGCAGCGCAGGCCGTCTGTCCAGGAACAGGGCAGGGTGGGCGGGGGTGGGGGGGGCAGGACCCCAAGGAAAGTGACACGCAACTCTCCAAGGTCGTTACATTCAAAATGCCCAGAGGGAGGGCCAGACGAGGAAGGAAAGGGGACCGTCGCAGCATCTTGGGGCTGCCGTGAGAAATTACAACAGAGCGAGGGGCTCCAGGCAGCGGAGGTTGGTTCTCCCCGAGCTCTGGGGGCCGGGAGGCAGGCGCCAGAGTGTTGCCCGGGCTGCTCCACGTGAGGCTCTGAGGGAGCATTTGTCCCCTGGCCCTCCCTGGGCCCGGGCAGGGACCGGCGCTCCTCGGCGTGGTTGGCTTGTGACACGTGGCCTTCTCCCTGCGTGTGTGTCTCCGTGTCCTCTCTCATAAGGCCACCAGTCTTTGGATTAGGCCCACCCTAATCTAGAAGGACCTCATCGGTACTAACACAGTGATGAAGACCCTCTTTCCCAATGAGACCCCATCTGAGGCCCCAGGCAGGCACGACTTTGGGGAGCCAGGCAGCTGCGGAAAGGGGCCAGAGCAGAGCACAATGGTGAGGATGGTAGGGCCACACGCTTTGACTGAGTGTGAGCTCGGCTATTTTAAGAGAGTGGGAAATCTAGGCTTCTCGGGGGAAGTCACATAATTTTAAAATGTAGTCTCCACTTTTTTTAAACATTGTGCAAGCTCATAAAATCCATTGGCAAGTCAGCCATTTGGGTCCCCTGTGGATGTCACCAGAAGGCAGAGCAAGGAGCCCGCCAGCCCCTGCCCCCTGCAAATCCCGCTTCCCTGAAGTCCCCCCACCCCCTTCCCTGCGCAATGCTCCCTGGGGCCTCCCTGCGCCTCGCTGCCCCCCGCCGCCAGCCGCCCTAGGCGCACGAGACCTGGCTGCCGCCCCTACCTTCTCAAGGCTGCGAGGCTGCTTCTGGAGCTCACAGATGAGGCCTGGGCAGGGGGCGGGCGGGGGGAGGCAAGAAAGAAACAAGGAGTTTACAGTGTTTGAAATCCCCATTTAATGTGCCCTGGCTTGGGCAGCAGACAGCACATTAAGAGGCAATAGCCCATTGTCCTTTGCTGGGGAGCGGAGCATTAATAATGTCATAACAGCATCCACTGACACTGTGCACAAATCACCACCAGGCTCGCGGGGTGGGCACAGGCAGCCCCACGGCCGGCCGGCCGGCCGCCAGCCGCCTCGAGCTGCGCAGGGAGGCCGGAGGCGCGGAGCGCCGCTCCTCCATGCATATTTCATGCTCTCTGTTTCACAACATTCAGGCTAATCCTCCGGTTGAAAAGCCGCGTCTGGGGTTTATTTTTATTTGTGCCAGAAGGCTATTCTGCCGCACAGCTTGTGGGCGCCAGGAGTGCGGCCATTGCGCTTCCCTTGTTCTGCAGGGGCGTCAGCTGCTGTGCGTGTGCCTGGGTGTGCGTGCGTGCACGTGTGCGCGCGTGTAAATGTCTGGTCCCAGGGCAGGGGAGCCAGGGCCAGGGCAGACAGGGGCCTCCCACGTGGACCCCACCCCAGCACTGGAGACACAGGCGAGCTCTCCCTTTAACAAGACCGAGAGGCCCCATTTACTGAGCACCTACTACGTGCCAGGAGATGACCCAGGGACTCACTCTGGCTGGGTCACCGTGTTCACACTGC